ACTAGTAATGTTGGGAATTTTTGTCTTATATCACGGTATTAAAATATGGTAATGTGGTCATAGGTCTAACTTCAGAAATGAAATTCTTACTAACCTACTGACAACACCTATGGAAATTGCCTTAGTAAAGTGAATCATTCCCAAGGTCGCTGTGGGTCATTGTGCTTCAGGATTTCCCATAGAATGGCTGAGGCCTTATTGTGACCATACAATTCAATTTCTCCTTAGTCCCACCCTTTCTTTTATCTTTACTTCCCTTACCCAGATATTTACCTCCAAGAACACTTCCTCATAATAAAACTTCTGCATGCTAATCTTCATCTCAGAGTCTGCTTCTCAGGAGTCTCAATCTGCAAGAATAACAGATCTCCAAATGTCTCAGGCAGATGGAACTCAAGAATTCAAACATCGCCATCATATTTGTCTCCAAATAGCCCCATCCTCACTTAGTTACTAACTCTGATTTTGATTCTGTTTAGGTTGCCAGAATTCTCATGCAGCTTTTTAGCATAAGGTATTAGAGATGGCCTAGGACAGCACCAGGCTACATCACTGACAAAGAGAGAAAAGCTTGACATTCTCTCCTCCAGAGTTCCTAATAACTCCTCCCTCCATATGAAAAAATAACCTAATTGGTTTTGTTCAGGTAAAGTGTCCACACCTGGGATGATCACTTGCATCACTCTCCAGGGGGATGAAGACTTCTCAGAAGTCATCCTTAGGCAGGGAATGTGGGTCCACATCACCCATAGAAGCAGATAAAGAGGAGCATGAGTTCTGGAAAGACACAGGATGCACGGAAAAGTTACAGAAGGACAAAAATCCACTTTACATTAGCAACAAGAACAAAACTCATTGAGAATCTTCATGTAGTAGCACATTCCTTTTCTTCAGCAATTTCTCTTCTTGGAATAATTAGGAATCTAATTTTAAATTTGAGTTATCAGGAAGGAATTACTTTCGGGATGCAATCAGTGAATTTTCTGAAAACTTAGGTCTGCTTCTCCTCTCTGTCCTTTTGCTCAGTCAGAGGTACCTAGGATGCAATTACAAGCCTAAAGCAGTTAGCCATCACTGCCTACTGAGGCAGGTGAGTACATGCTTATTTTCACAACAGTCTAGCTTGACACCAACAGTTTAGGAGGCAATGGAAACCAAATGGACTGAGAGAAGATAAGCCAGTAGGTGATGCATAGAGTTTCATTCTTCTTGTCTAATCAATGCCAGTCAACCAATTCTTTTGCTCCTTTATCGACTTTGTTGTCTCTGAAGAGCAGTGCACATTACACTTTTTACTCTTTTTTCTCACCTCCTTACTGTTCTTTATTTTTTTGTTTTAGTTTATTAGTACATGTATGTAATACGTAATCCTAACATTCTTTGTGGGAAGTTGGCACATGTACATAACACATCTCAATTCTTTTTTTTGCTTTTTTTTTCCTTTGGTTCTGGGGATCGAACTCTGGACCTTGTGCTAGCAAGGCAGGTGGTGGAACCGCCTAAATCCCCAGCCCTCAATTCTTTTTTGTAATCCCTTATCCATTACCCCCTTTCCTCTCCCTCTGTTTTGATCCCCTTCCCCTTTAAGAATGATCTATCTCCCTACTTCCTATTATCTATCTTTTATTTTGCTCTTTATTTTTACTCTGGATTTCTCATATAAGGAAAAAATATGATATTTAAATATACGTGTCTAATTTATGCTGGCGAGGTTGTGGGGAAAAAGAACCCTTTTTCACCATTAGTAGGAATGTAAACTACTTCAACCACTATGAAAAACAGTATGGAGAATCTTCAAAAAACAAATTCCATTTGATCCAGCTCTTCTGCTTCTAGGTGTCTTCTCAAAAGAGTTAAAGACATCATATTACAGAGATATGTGTATACACATGTTTAAAGCAACACAATTCAGGCCGGGGATTTAGCTCAGTGGTTCCAGCACCTGCCTCGCAAGTGCAAGCTCCTGAGTTCGATCCCCAGTACCAAAAAAAAAAAAAAAAAAGAAAGAAAAAAGAAAATAAAGCAACCCAATTCATAATAGCTACATCTTGGAAACATTCCATATGTCCATCAACAAATGAATAAATAAAGCAAATGTGGTATTTACACACCATGGAGTACTACTCTAACATAAAGAAAAATAAACTTGAGTCATTTGTAGAAAAATGGATACACCTTGAGACCATAATGGTAATCAGATACACCAGCTTAAATATCACATTACATTTTTTAAAAATAGTGTTCTCAAAAGGGAAGTTATTTCCCATGTAAGAAAGATTTTACCCTATTACAACTTGTGTCTCTTCCTCCAGCTGTGAAACTGATTGAGGTTCCTAAGGCTCTCAAGGAACCCCTACTCACATCCCGCTGATTACTTTCATAAAGAAGAAAAAAGGCAATAGAAAGGAACACTTAATTCCCCATGGAAAGTACTCTTTAAAAAATTCCTTCTGCAATTGTAGAGGTGGGAAAGGGACTAGGAAAATGTTCAACAAATAATTTTTATTTATTAAATTTTTTGTACCTGGGATTGAACTCAGGACCTTGCACTTGTCAGGCAGGTGCTGTGCCACTGAGCTACATCCCTGGCACAACAAATAGTTTTATATGAATCATGAAACATTATTTCCTAACATGAGTATTCATGGTCCCCTTCTCATTGCCTCTCCAGTAGAGCAAAAGCTTCAAGAGGCAGATGAAAAACTGAAAAAGACTCGAAGGCTTAAGTAAGACAAGGAAAAATGAATGATTAAGGAGGAAAAATGAAAAGGGAGAAAATTACAGAATAAAAGACTTCTCATTGAGTTTGAAAGAGCATGATGAGTGGCAATCATCCCTTTGGAGGAGTTTGGGAGTGGCCGAGAAAATAGGTCTTTAAAATGTTTTACTGCTCTTTAGGGATATGTACCTCATTTCTTTAGTTACATGAGAAAATATGCACATATCTGAATTATGTTTTATTTTAGTCAAAGTCCAGTTAGAGAAACAGAAACTACCATATTTCAACAGATGGAATTTCAGATCAGGAAATGGTTACATGGATGATGGAAAAGTGGAGAATCCCAAAAGTAGGTGCAGAAAGAAGAACCACTGGAAGTGGTTACCACCCTCAGAGTTAGAGAGGAACTGGGAGGAGGTGGTATAACTCCAGCTGAGCAGCCAGGGCCATCTGGCAAGATCTAGATCTACAGTAGTGTTAGACAGCAGGAGCTCATGGCAGACAGGGAGGGGTTGGCTAATGGGAGGTGGAGCCTTAGTGGAGATTCAGTCCCTTTTTGGATGCCACTTGAAAAAAAAATCCTAAGGGAAGAAGCACTCTGGATTCTCTCTTGCTCCCCATCCTCTGGAGTAACTAAACTCAGAGAAATCAAAGGTCCAAAGAGGCTGCCAAATGTAATTATGTCTAAAACACAGCAGAGCAAGGAAAGCCCAAGGAATAGATAATAGAGCAAGGAGGCAAATAACTCGCACATGTTTTTTTGATTGTTCACCTATGTTTCTTTGAATTGGTGTCTTTGTGGAATGGAACCAGAAGGACAATTTCTCTTTATGTGAATTATACACGCTCTAATTGTCGTGGAGTAGGTTAGAGTTGAGTACTTTTTGAATATTATGAAGTGAGGAACCATACTGCTTTACTATTTGTCATATTTCCATAGGCTGTCCCAAGTAGTTTGTAGATAGCAATCAAAAGACTTTACTTCTCAAAAAAACCTTTATTTCTCTTTTATTCCTTTGTTACTATCCACTACTACAATTTATTTTTAATTTATTAGCTATAGCTGTTGTACAAACTACCCTTGTTAATTAGTTAACTTTGATCTTGTAATAGATTTCTGCTCTTACCTTCATGTCTTTTTCATATCTTGAAAACTGGATAGCAGCCAGGCAGTAACAATGCTGCATCTAGTTTTGGTATGTACTACATGTGACATACTTTAGGTTTGGCCATGTTTATACACTTAGCATGGAAGATGTCATGTCAAGGGCTTGGGATGTAGTTCAGCACCACAGCGTCTGCTTGGCAAGCATGAGGCCCTGAGTTCAATTCCTGGCACCAAAAAAGAAAAAAAATAATAATTTGGGCTGGGGATTTAGCTCAGTGGCACCGGTCCTGATTTTGATCCCCAGTACCACACTCACATAAAAAAATGTCATGTCTGCCAGTCAACATGATTGTCATCTGAAGATTTTGGTATTTTTGTTAGTTTCATTTCCTGCAATTTTATGTACAGTGATTTAGGGTGGGGGTTGACACAGTCTGGCTTTGTTTTTCCTGGTATCATGATCACACATGATGACACATTTTTGGGGTCTCAAATCCCAATTCCATTATTCCCTGGTTGTATGACTGTGTCCAAAATAAGTTAACAGCTCTTGTTCTCAATTTTCTCATCTGTAAATGTAATCATAATAAAAGAACCTGCATTCTATGGATTAAGTTGTGAGAATCAAATGAATTGAAGTGTATGCATGTGCATTGTGTCTCTGTATGTATACACACATATGCTTATATGTATGCTCCAACTCACAGATACATATGCACATACACATATCTAGCTTATAAAATTGGCACATAGTAAGCATCTTATAAATATCAACCATCACTATTGTAACTGTTTTCGATGAGGCTATAAATATCACTCTAAAATTCTATCAAAAGGCATAACACCTGTTTAATGTGTTTTATCCAACAGTAAGACATGGCTAGTTGAGTGACTTGAAAATTGTAATTAGATAACTAATTAGTAAAATAGTTCACTGTGTAAAATACATCCCATGAATAGCACTATTCATCTCTGTTGTAAAATTTGGTTTCATTTTCCAATATATTTAGTTGTGATTGGATCCTTATAAATATTTCTCTTGTACTTTTTGTGGTTTAAAGATTTAAATTTGTTGTGGAAATAGGCTTCTCAGTTGACCAATGATTAGCCAATTTCTGATAATAGAAAAGGAAACACATTGCCCCAAGGCTGCTGTTTTCATTTCCTCATGGGTGGAAGAAGCTCGATATAGCAGAAAGGCAGACAGCACACTGAAGTTCTGTCACCATGGGGAACTGGGCTGTGAATGAGGGCCTCTCCATCTTTGTCATTGTAAGTACCAACAAGAGATAAAGTATGAATTCTATGACATGTTTGGGTTTGCCTAGAAGCTAAAATAGAGCAAAGTGGTTTTTTGTTTGTTTCTTTGAGAAATTGATTTGCTGTGTGAAAAAACATATATTTCACTGAGTTAGTTCCTTCTTCCAAATTCCTTAATGGAAAGATGGTATCTGAGTGCTCATTTCTCCTAATTCATTTCTAAGTTCCTAGGAGTACTAAGCCAGAATTCTGCAGAAAGAATAAAAGATATTTTATGACATCACTCCTTAATTCTGAATTATTTATTAATTACTCAGAGGAAGATTTCCCTATTTTTTATGTGTTTAAACTACTTTAAAATGGCCAGTTGAAACTTTATACTATTTTCCAAATAACAAGTATAGGACTGGCTCCTGTGTGGGAAACGGGCCTTTATGTAAATGATGACACTAAAAATAAAGTTCTCAAATTTCTTTTTGAAAACAAGTACCTTCTCTGAGGTCTAAACTTCATTTACTCATGAGGTTTATAAAATTCAAGAGAATTTAGATCATTTATCTAGGTTCATACACATGTAATATATAATATATAAATATATATGTCGATATAATCTATTTTGTAAAGCTATTTTTGCTAGTAAAGATATGGGTACTTTTCAAATAGATGTTGATTTCTATGCTTTTTAACATAAATAACTTAGCCGTGCTCTTAAGATGGTTGTCTCAGAAAAGCAACTGTGGACAAATGGGATAGAAAGAAAAGTGATTTCTAAATAGCTTTGCCAAATAGCCAATAGAAACATGAGGTTAAAAAGCACACTTATGAATAGAACTTTCATAAGAATTTATCATGGAATATATGGAGGTCTTTGAGTTTTACTGATAGAAAGAAATTAGTGGCACAAATAAAATAAAAACAAACATTTTATTATTGGAAATATACCTTATGCCAAAATCAACACTCTGATGTAATTCAGAACTCTGCTGATTTGAAACTGTACAGTTGATTTCTTATCACTATTTGAAAAGCAGATTATTCCTATAGGAAGCAATTGAAATTATACTTTTAGCTCTCAACACAATTTTCCCCAGGAAATTACCTCTCTTTATATGAGAAAATCATATACTTGAAAGTGAAGACCCAGCTTAGAAAGTCAGAGTTAGGAAAAAAAAAAAACAAGGTCAGGAAACGCAAATGTTGCTTTAGCACCTTCTTTGTAAATTGAGATTGCTCTCAAACACATCTATGGATATTTAATAGCTGGTATTAACAATAACTAGTAATTTAATAGTTAAGAAAAGATCATAACTGCACTGAAGGTGATGACTGGGCAGTATCGCTACTTGATAAAGTCAATGTTTGGAGTGAAATGACAGGTCACATCTATAAAAATCTTTCTTTGTCTTTTAGCCCCATGCCCCTCAATCTCTTGCTCATGCTCAATATTCCATCCTTCAAAATGCGAGTAAAAGTTATCAAGTTGAATGAAAGGCTCAGCATCCTAGCTGATGATGAGACACTCACTAGCCGGTGTGGGATGCTGTGTTGTGCAGGGAGGTGATAACAGAACACAGTGTCCTACTCGTAGGCAGACAGATAGCAACACATTCACTCCCCTTCTCATTTTACTGGTCAACCACTATTATGTACTTATCTAAGAAAAAGAAGAAAAGATGATGAAAAAGAAAGGAGGGGAATTAGAATGATAATAATTTGGTATACTGGCCAAGAAATAAAACAATCATGACAAGCAATACAAGGTAGAAAAGTTAATTACAGAAAAGTATAGTGACACTGTTGCAGGAAAGACCTAGCCCTAAGTTCTGATCTTTGTCTAACTCCAATCTTGTGTGGAACCTATTTACTGAGATGGGAAAACTTCAGTCAACTCTTTCTATTTATGCAGCTGATGTGGCTGGGGATGAATGTCTTCCTCTTTGTCTATTACTACAAGGTTTATGATGATGAAGACAAGTACTTTTACACTAGAAAACTTCTTGGGGTAAGTATAACTTTTATATCATGCAATATTAGCTGGCTCACATTTCTAGTCAGATGTTCTTATTCTTATTCCTTTTAATATTTTAAACAAATATCCTGGCCAAGCCAAACAGTATCTGTCAGTCTTACTGCCTTCATTGCAACTTCCTGGGCAAGAATCTTTTAAGGCCTGCCAGTGTGACAAACAAAAATGTAGCATAGGGTCCCAGAGGCATCCCTTTCCTCTCAGAGCCATGTGTCACTGTTTAGCTTAAAGGAAAAATCTAATACTGATTCTGGAATGTAAGGCCAGGTTGAAGCAGTCTATCCAGGAGTGACATGTGTGGGGTAAGTGAGATTGTCTAGATTTTCTAAGTCATCTGGTCCTTACCACTTGTATGCATGAAGAGCCATGCTCCTGCTACACTTTATGAAATAAACTTCAGAAAGTCAGCCTCTCTGTACATCTGGAGACAATGAGGAACTTGTTCAAGAGCCACATCTGTTCAGTAGGCCAGCTTGAATTTTCTTGGGTCCTTTAGTAATCTCAGTTTCCTTGGAACTGGCTGTCAAAAATGAAAATAATTACAATTGCACCTGACCCCAAAACATAATTTGTTACATCATGGTTAAACTATGAATTAATTATTCAATATTAATTATAATATATATTATAAATCATGTGTATAAATAATTATAAAACATAATTAAACTACCTTATAATCCTTGTTAATATATCCACACTGATGCTTCCTCCTTTCAAAATATACAACTCATTTAGAAATTACAAAATTGATAATTATGATATCAGAACAAACACCATACCAACTGCACTTATTAAGGTCAGCCAATATATTAAGAAAATATATTAAAATCTTTAAAAATTTCAGTTTTGATACTGAACTCTAGTTAATGATATACATGCTTAAGTATTTAGGAGGAAATGAACTGATATCTTCAACTTTGACATGCACTCAAAAAACAAGATGAATTGATGGATGGATAGAGGAATGGAAAGATGGGTATGTGATAAAGCAAGCATAGAAAAGGTGCAATATGGTAGATAGACAAACATGTATTCAAAGTAAATTTATTTCTGCTTCTCCTTATATTTGCAACTTTTCAGAATAAAATGTTAAATTGGAGTAAAGAGCCAGTTTCAGATTAAAATAGAGTCTGACCAGGCCCTAAAAGAAAACTCTCAGTTCTGGAAGACTGTCCCTTACAGATCTTTTGGAGTTTGTGGTGTATGGTCTCATGTTGAGAACCTGGGGAAGTAGAGGTGGGGTCATTCTATGCACACAAGAATAACTCTGCTCTCTATCCTGCTTCTAGAAAGCTCTGGCTTTGGCCAGGGCCCCTGCAGCCTGCCTAAATTTCAACTGCATGCTGATCCTGCTGCCAGTGTGTCGAAATCTGCTCTCTTTCCTCAGAGGTTCCAGTGCGGTAAGAGCAAACATTTTAGAGTTCATCAAATTTTCAAAGCCATCATGCAAAATGCCTTTTCTTAGGAAAAGCAAACCAGTGACTCTGGGAGACTCTAGCTTGTGTAAAATATTCATGAGAGAATCCATGCTCTCTTTTGTGAATTTTTTTCTGACACTATTTGTGGATGGAGCTCCCTGGGGCAACCATAAGAAATTATAAAAGCAACCAGCTAAACTATATACCAGAAATAGCAGTGAAGTAAGTAAGCATGTGTATGTGTGTGCATACACACATATGTGTAATATGTGTGTATATAAACAGGCCTTAATGAAGCTGACATGTGATATTTGGAAATTAAACTTACAGTAAATTCAAAAAATTAATGTCAGAGAAAATATCTTGTGGGCATAATATCCAGACAGATAGAATCAATGGATAAAGAGTCAGATTATAATGAAACATGACTAAAAATGGTTGGCTTTATGGAATTGGAGAGAACAGAGCTTTCTAAATGTCCAGGGTTCACCCTCACTTCAAAACTTTAGTGAACCTCTACAAGTACTATAACAGAAGACAAGAATATTGAGTAGGAAGAATAACTGTAACTTATAAAATAGAATACTAATTTCTTACTGGTGTAATACAAAGAAGAATCAAGGAACTTACAATCTTCATACATACTCAAATATTGCACAAAGCAAAATATGATGGGTCCCTTAAAATTTCACAAATAAAGAATATAGGCAGGGGATTAAATAAACAATATAGGTAAGAGAAAGAAATTATATTAGGTGGGGCAGAGGATTCAGAGAGGCTTCCAAGGGAAGGTGGCATTGGAGATGGGCATAAATAAGCATCATGGAAGCATAAATGAGAGAAAGTCATTATACATGGAGAAAACATCATGGGCAAAAGCACAGGAAATGGTGAGAAATCTCCTCGCAAATCTACTATCAGCAAAACTTGTGGCTTCTCTTTAGCTTTGTTTGCCATTCTTGACCATTTCAAAGAGGGTAACTAGGATAAGTTAGGGGTTGTTGCCCTGGTGTGACCCATTCTCCTGGATGATTAGTGACTAGCACCCTCTGTTTTATCATTTTAATAAAATGTATGTGTTTCATACTAATAAGCTTTTAAAATATATATTAAATACAAATCATTCATGGAGGAAAACAGGAAACATTATTTTTATGGGAACATAGAGATTTTTATAGGGCAGTTTTCTGAAATAAGGCTATCGAGGAATGTTGGTATTAAGAATGCTGATAAACTAGAACCTTAAGTACAGAGCTAAGGACTTACTACTTCATTTGGCAATCACTGAATATTTGTAGAGAAGGAAGCGAAGTAAACTGTCAATGACAAGTATAACTTACCTTGAACTCTGCCTTGTTTTTCCTATTCACACTAAATTCACATTGCTCCAAAGGACTTTTTTAAGAAACATACAATACTGCATTTACTAATATAGTATTAGTAGGCTACAATGAGCTTTTCCTTTATACTGTCTAACTATTAACAAAATGCCATTTCATCTTAAACCTACTACCAAAATTGTACTCTCACCAGTCTAATTTTAAAGTAAGAGTTGGGGGGGGTGTAGCACAGTGTTAGAGCTCATGCATAGCATGCTCAAGGACCTAGATTCAATCCTCAGCATTTCAAATAAATTAATAAATAAATGACAGAAAATAACTAACATCTTTAGTTCAGTAGAAAACAACAAAAGAAAAATTTCATGATTTTTTTCCTCTAGAAAAAACTGTGAGGAAGTTCCTTTAAGTCATGAACTCTGTTGCACAATTTGCCTTGCAAACTGACAGCCAAACAAAACCAAAAACTAACAACCACACTTAGTATTAGACACTGATTATAAGGATTTCTAAATAAACTCCATCACCTAAGAAGCCACAGAGATGAAACTCCACTGGATTGAACGTTTTGTTGATGAGCCACTTACTTTATAGTATTTGATATAGTGTAGGTGCCCAGTGAACATTTGCTAAATGACACCATGAATGATAGCTTTTTGTGTTTATGGAGACACAATTCTTTATCCTCCCTTCCTCCATTCAAATACATTATATTTAGAGGAAGTAAAGCCTGAGAAACAGGCAGTGTTTGTATCAGTTAAGAAATTCTTGTTACCCCACAGCTCCATCTTGCACTGCCATTGAGTTTTCATGTCCCATGAGCAGCACATTTTGTAATGGCAGTTCTGAGGCTTTTCTAGCTTTGAGAGTATCTCAAAACACAGCAGCAAAATAAAGCTGTCTGTAATAAAATATCTATCTATCTATATGTAGAGAGAGATAGATGATAGATAGATAGATAGATAGATAGATAGATAGATAGATAGATATCCTAGATTCTTTTGCAGTCAGAGCATTTCCTTCTTTCTGAGATTCCCAACCTGAAAAGGAAACTTTGAACATTAAACATTTTTTTCTACCTGGGATTAAAATGAGTAAATGTGCTGTGATGAATGTTGGAAAGCATAACAGCTTTCCTAGAACTCAACTCATGAAATCTGCACATCAAGTCAATGAGTTGGAAAGAAAATTAAATGAGAGTTTGGTGATTCAAAACCAAATCACTGTGCCCCTAGAGCCTATTCACTTTTCTATGTACCACCTACATTTCCTAAAACTGTCCTACTGCTATGTTTCAGTCTTAAAAATCCATCATACATAGGAGTGTTTGAGAATGTTGAATAACCTAGGCTAGAAATGACAAGGTTATTGTAACTTCAAGGTTTGTTGGTGGAACATTGTGCCAAACAAATAGCCACAGAACTTCTGTTCAATATCTAGAGATCTGAATCATTCAGACTTGCTTTGCAATTCTTTTGCTTACCTGGAGAAAGAAAGCCCCAGGGTTGGCCCTCCCCAAGTCCACTTCCAGAAGGTTGGGGTAAAGGCTCTCAGGCAAGGGTAGAGCTCAGCATACAGAAGTCCCAGAAAAACCCTTAATAACTCCACCTTGACACGTAGAAACTAATTTTGAACTTGATGATGGTCCTAGTCTTAAGATCAGAAAGAAACAACAAGGTGAAAGGGTGAGGTCTTATTTGTTAATTTTTGAGAGTCAGAAGATCTCATTATGGCTCTCTCTGTCACCATTTGTCCTCCTAGAGTGAGTCTCTTAGACTTTCTAATAGATTTTTTAGCTGAAAAATAGGTCAAATACTGCAAATATAAGAACAAATATGCCACTCCAGATCAAAGGTCGAGCACTTGCCCAGCATGCACAAGCCTTTGAGTTCAATTTCCAGCACTGCAAAAAAAAATGAATATACTTTTAGTAAAAGTATGCTGATTAAGTCTGTTAATTAGTTAATTGAAAGCTAATACATATTTGTGTGTCATCCATGTGCTAAGCACTGAGGATATGTGATAAGTAAAGAATAAGAATGGATGGGTCACAAGCTTAAGGAGCTTAGAATCTTCTGGAAGAGATAGAGAATAAATATATGACTTCAAAATTATAAGCAATGCTGTGAAATGGTGTTTTTTATATTTATTGCATATTATACTGCCACAACGTGTGGATATCATGATTGGCTTCTTTACCTGAGTTCTGTAGAAGCTTTTGCCATTTCCTCCAACTTGTATATAAATACCTACTTCAGATATATATTAATATGGTGTGTGTGGCAAGACCAAGTGTATATATAATAGAACTACAGAAGCTCATGTTACAACCCATTAAATACACACTTCTTTTTATTTCAACTTCTCATTTTTTGAAATTCGTGGTTTCAATAGAGCATAGAAATTTGCCACAGTGTCTCAATAATGTCCCTTGCATTGGAATGATACTTTGTTGAAGTTGGGCAAGGCTCTTGGTGACAGTAACAGAGAAATTTCCCTTTAGAAGTCAATGGTAGAAAACAAAGGGTAGTTCAATCAGTGAGGAAACTATGGGACACAATGGCAGCTTAGGTAATTGGTAAGTGGCTGGCAATAATTCAGAAGTGACCCAAAGCATAGAATTGATATCTGAATGGTAAAGAGGAACAGAAAGGTCCTGGACAATCAAAGACAGTAAAGCCCTTCCTTCCCACCTATCAACTGGTCGCCTTGCCCCCTTTTCAGGAAATAGTGAGAAGATCTTTTTCTTAAAAACCCAGTTTCAGCATGACTTGTGGCTTTTCTTTGTATTTGTCCACTGTTCCTGATGACAAAGAAGTTATCTAGGAACAAGTAAGGATTAGTGCTCTGATGGGACTCATTCCACTGGCCCAGTAGTAGCTAGTAGCACCTGTTTTTTTCCATTTAATTAAATGTGTTTCATATTAGCATTTCAAAAATTACCTGTTAAGATAAAATAGAGTATTGCTGAATGGAAATTGTATTTCTCAATCACATCTCTCCATTGTTCCAGCATTCAGCTTATTTTCTCTAAGGGTTTGCTCCAAAAGTTGTTAAAGAACATCAGCATCTATTGTCTTACATTTTTTATCACATGTGTTAATGATAGTGATAAAGATGGGGGAAGGAGATCAAGAGTTGGAAGGAGAGGGGAGAAAAGAAAGGGGAAAGATGAAAATAAGAACTGAGGTGTATTATGTACATGTACCAAGTCCATAAAAGAAATGTGATCATTATGTACTGCAAACATGTATCATACAAAAGGAAAATCAAGAGATGGGGGTAGAGAGGGAAGGAAAGAGGATGGAAAAAAGAATTAAAATGTACATGTACTAACTCCACACAAAAAATGTAAGCATTATGTACTTCACTCATGTACTAATACATGATAAACTAAAATAAAATTTTAAATATGAAAAAAACAGAAAAAGGTAAGACTATGGAAATAATGTAGGGACTACAACAAAGCCATGTTCATTTTCTTCAAATTTATTATGCAAGAGCCTGTGAATTTTCATATAGGATCTTTGTCCTCTTGATGGGGAGCTAAGCCATACTAGGTAGAAAGTTAATAATGATACAAAATAACATCAAATACCTATTAAACACTGCTCAAGGGAAGACCTACAATAATTATACGGGTGAGGATACTGGAGTCTGAGTGCATTGTTCAATGGCACACAGCTGAGTCACAGGACTGGGAACCTGACATAGGTATATTTGAAGACAAAACTTGTACTCACATGTAATTCAGTACTGTTTTCTAACCTTACTAATGCCCTTTTCTCTGAATCTTAGAAATCCAATCTGGTTTCAGCACTCCAGTAAGGACTATATTAGTTATAAACAAATTACCACAAATTCAGTGGCTTAAAACAACTTTCATGCATGAGCTGACAGTACTATAGGTCAGAAGCCCAGCACCCTGTGGCTGGCTTCTCTGCTCAGGATATCATGAGACTTTAAATCAAGTGTCTTCCGGATGAGTTCTCATCTGGAAACTCTGGGTAAAAATCCTCTTCCAAGCTCCTTCTTCTTGGCAGAATTTATTTCATTGCACTTGCTAGGCCTGATGTCTCTGTTTCTTTGCTGGCCATCATCTAGGAACGATTCTTAGATCCTAGAGGTCCCTCCATTTTCTGTCATCTGTCTCCCTCCATCTTCAAGCTGAAAACAACACATACAATTTTTTTTGTATGTTTGAAATCCCTAAGTCTTTCCACCTTGGACTTCTGGACCTAGATTTAATGAGCTTATGTAACTGGGTCAGGCTCACCCAGAACTTGGAACTGTAATCACTTCTGTAAAATTCCTTTTGTCATATAATGTAGCAGAATCACAAAATTGAATTCTCATCATTTCACAGGTCCCATCCAAACCCAAGGGGAGAAGATTACATAACGTCATTGTAGGTTATCCTAGAATCTGCCTATCACAAGGATTCTTAGAAACTATGACAACTTGGAAATAGGAAAAAGATATTTCTTTAAAATTGTAAAGAATACAAAGGGCTAAAACAACTCTCAGCACTTGAAATAAGCACAAAAGATAACATTAAAAAATGATGACCAGACATAAAGTTATTTCAAACAGGAAATCCTTCTTCTGAGGGCTTGAACTACCACTCAACTCCCCTGGTAAACAGAATCGTAGCCAATGTGTCAGTGTTCTGCCATATTCCCTAATCCTTGGCAGTTCCAATACATGGGGCAGCTACCTATTGCACACACCATTCTGTCCCTGGGGATTTTCCTTTAGCACTCTCCTGGTGTGGGCCTAAAATGCCAGCAAGTCTATGCCTGGGAGCAGCCCTCAGCCAATGATGGATGGATTTGTTAAATGGACAACTAAACTTCTTAACTGCTTAGATCAAGACCAAACATCAACAAACAAACAGACAAACCAAATCTAGAATAACCTTTTGGGACAAGTACTTTAGTTTCTCAGTGATCCCTGGTGGGATTGAGCTGATTATTATATGATTAATGGTAGACAGCATGGTAATACACTCTTCATTGGTTTCCTTCCAGGCCTTACTCATCCCACCCTCTATTTGTGATCACCTTTCAGATAGAGTACTTAAACTTAAATGCTTGTTTTAGATTTTTAGTCACGTAAAATAATAGTGACTACCTCCTTGCATTTGTTAGGACAGAAAAGTGCATGAATCATTTACAGACAAATAGACTTGGATCTGAGCCAATGTGAGATTTTAGATACAGATTTAAATTCTGTATCTATACAATGAAGACAATAATAATTATTTCATTGCATTACATGAAGTAATGATTATGGGTAAACTACCTGGGTCATAGGATCCATAATAGTGTCTAACTCTTTTTCTCCTCTTTTGGAATCCTCAGAGTCTTCCTTACTAGTATTTCTGCAATTCCAAGAATCAGATCTCATGGTTTAAACAGCCTGCCCACCCTAGGTGTGGCTAACTGAGAAATAGTAAAATAAGAACAATTTTCCATACAATTATATTTTTGTATAAAATACAAAGTATTTTATTAAAAATAAGTAAGCCAAATACTCAATGCCCTCTTATTGAAATTGAATATAATGTTTAGAACCAAATATTTAAAATATCTAAGATTTTTTGATACTTAACTGTACTCTTCTTAAAGTCTTCTGAGGCTCTGTGGTAGTACATTTAAATTCTGAAGCAAAAGTCAGAGATAATGGTACAGGCCTGTAATCCCAGAACTTGGGAGCCTGAAGCAGGAGGATCACTGCAAGTTCTAGGCCAGCCTGGTCTACATAATGAGCTCAAGGCCAGCCTGAACTACAAAGGGAGGCTCTGTCTCAAAAAAACAAAACAAAGCAAAACAAAACAAAACAAAACTGAAACAAAGCAGCCAGGGCCAGCAATTGGCTACTTTCTAGGAAGGTGGGAAAAACACACTATAATATGGGTCAAAATACTACTTTTAATGTCAAGTTAAACATAGAAGGTATAAAATATTAGAATATTGATAAAAACTCCCTTATCAGATGGCCTGGGTTTAAATCCCATCTCTGCTTCTTGTTGGTTGTGGGATCCAAGACAAGGTAATCATTCTATGCCTTTGTTTCCTTACTTGTTATGTAGGGATGATAATGGTACCTCCACAATAGAATTGGTGTAAGAATTAAATGAGCCAGTGCATGTAAAACATTTAAATCTGTTCCTTGCACAAGTTCTTAGTGAATGTTGTTGTTATTCTTGCTAGTAGTGTATTATTATTTGGTCATTGACCTCCTTTGTGATATCTCTGACAAACATGGGCAAGTGGATTCTTCTTTTACCTCTCCGAGTGTGTATGTCCTAGATTACTGTTGTTGGAGAACTATTCACTTGTTCTTGAACTGTTCAGTTGTCTGTTCCCCCACTAGACTCAGGCATGTGAGTGCAAGCTTATTTTTATTAGTTTCTAAATCCTCTGTTTATTGAATGAATTAACTCGCATTAGAGACTATATGGTTAGCTATCTTTTCTGTCCAAATTCACATTTTCATACAGATAAGCAAGGGAATCCAGGTGAAATTTCATGTTACTGTTATGAGAACAAGAAACACACTAATTGAGCTGGCTATGTCATTCATTAGCTATTTGTCCTGGGAAAGATAACTACATTTCTCCAGGCTCAGTTTCCTCATCTATCAGATGCATGGAAGGATAACGTTTGTGGGGTGGTCATGAAAATTAAATGAGATGATATGTAAAAATATCTGACACACAGAAAGCCTTCTTATTAACAATTTCTATTCAATTCTTTTCCCCTGAACCCAAAGTGCTGCTCAACAAGAATTCGAAGACAACTGGATAGGAACCTCACTTTTCATAAAATGGTGGCATGGATGATAGCACTTCACACCGGTAAGCTTATTAAAACCATTGAAATTGTGAAGAAAAACCAGAGTGCCCTCTATTATATATCTATATGTAAGATATCAACCTTTACAGGTCGATTTTGTTGTGGTCATATATGTTGTGTGTTTTTTTAATGTGTTCTGTTTCTGTTCAAAAGTATTTCTGTTATCCCAATACTAGGATTTATTCCCTTGCTTCTTAAAGTTTTTATCATCCGAGGATCTCCCCTGTAAAAATGGCAATATGCCATAAGAAAAGTCAATCATGGTGTCTTCACTCTTTCCCATCTTTTTTAGTATGAAAAATATTTGTTAGTCCTCCTATGATAACTTCTACTCATTCTGGAAAATTGCTTGGCTGAACATGTAGTCTTGTACATTTTTTTGCAGTAAATCTGTAGGAACATCAGCCATTAATTGGAGATCTATTAAGAAAGCCCTTATCAGACAAACATCTTCAATATTAATATGATTTTATTATCATGTATATACATATAATAGGTACCTGTATGCATAACATTATTTGTTATTATAATTATTAGGGTGGTAATGTCAGTGCAAGAAGTAATGTGTCTAGGACCCTTAGCCAATCTTCACTGACTCACTTAATAGATAATTTATGTGCCAGACAATAGACACGCATGATAATGAACACAGCAAGCTTTAATCTGCCTTAAGGAATTCAGCCCTAACTTGAGTAAAATAGGTTTAGTGGACAGGTGCTTACCTGGGTTCCTCTTTTCCTACCGCATCACCCAAGTTTTTTGAGTTGTGGCAAATGAAATAATTACATAGAAATGTATGATATAATCCTATTGGTAAGTATTATAGTATACTGGTTAAGAACACAGACTTGTATGCCAAACTCTACTTGATTCCTATCTCTGTTGTTTCCTAGCTTAATGACCAGGAGCAAGATTTTAATGTAATCTATGCTCCAGTTTCTTCAACTGTAAGGTGATCTGATTTTAATTGTACCTACATCTCTGAGTATAAGTATTAAGTAATGGAAAAATATTAACAGTGCCTGCACCCAGTAACCCCTGGGTAAATGACTGTGAAATAAAGAATGCTATTTGATTTTTAAAGAGATGGTCACTAGTTTGTGTCAATTCAGTCACATTTATCATCTCTGGAGGTAATTTCAGAGTCAAGTGAATGGGCCAACCATTAGGCATATATTATAGAAGACTTTTCTTGACACAAATATTTTAGGGAGAGAGAGAAAGAGAGAATGAGAACATATCTAAATTCCTCAGAGACTGGGGTTATTTTGTAGAATCTTAGACCTTGGTTGGATCTTTAGGAGTATATAACTGAACATCTTCATTTTACAAATGAGAAAACCAAGACCAGCGAGGATAAGTGATTTCTTCACAATAACACAAACAGGAAGGACCTGGTATAGAATCATCTTGCCTGTCTGATCCAGGTCTTGTTTATAAGCATCCTTAGCCATCCTTATGTCTCCCTGTGCCTGCTGTACCCAGAATCCACATTATAATAAATTTATGATTACTTTTCACCCTCTTTCTTTCTCTTCTCTGCTCTCTTTAGCCATTCATACTATTGCACATCTATTCAATGTGGAGTGGTGTGTGGATGCTCGAGTCAACAATTCTGATCCTTATTCAATAGCACTCTCTGATATTGGAGACAAAGAGAATGAAGATTATCTCAATTTTGCTCGAAAAAGAATCAAGGTAAGCCTCTCATTTCCCAAATCAGCCATTCCCTAAGCTGTTAAAAGAAAAGACTAGAAATAGTTCTGGGATTACTATCTTAATTTTTTCTAGGGGGCAAAAGGAACAAACTGGAGCTAAATTTGTAATAAGTAAAGAAATAATAATCACATTTTTGTCTGGCCTCAGATATGATCAGAACAGTTTTCTTTTTATCTCATCCATCACAGTCACAAAGTAACTTCATCTGATGTTTGTGTTCTATGAAATTACTTATGTGAATTTGGGAACATCCTGCCCAGGTGTTAGTGTCAGGCCAGCCACAGGCCGACAGTTGTCGGCTTTTATTCTTTCTTACCTGCAACAACTGAGGAGTGACTGGTGTCTGCTAATGGTCATTTCTTGGTGCACTGGGAGTAACTCAGCAATTCCTAAGGAGCAGCCATGAGGGTATTCAAAGGCAAGGATTTCTTCCATCCCAGTAGTTGTTAAAGCTTCCTGAAGACGCTCCAAGCCATTTTCACATGCACAATGTCTTCCAAAGATGGTTAAATCACCCTAGCATTCAAACACATTTCCTTTTATCGAGGAAAGATCACAACAGAAGACTCTTAATTTTGCCAAAATTATTATTCTTGAATTGACATGAGAAAAATTTGCCTGATCTACTTAGGGACAGAATTAAATAACAACAAAAAATGAATTATTTTCCTATAATATTCTCAATTATTTTTCTTTACATTTCTTATTGTTTGCCAAAATATATAGAGAGTGCTTTCATTTTCCATGATCTATACCCTGTACCTTGTATTTCTTCTTCCAAAGACTATCCTGGGGCTAATTAGCACCCCTTTGCACACAGGCTCAGAGCTGAAAGGGCCTGGATGGTTTAGCTCTCCCAGACAACGGATGAGTGTAGGCCATGAAAGCCCAGCATCTTCTCCTAAAGTCTGAATAAACTCTACTCCCCTGAAGAATCAAGCTGTAGCTATCCCCTGTGAGATTTTGTCTGAGATCATCTAGTTGCTTGGCTTTGACCTTTTTCCTGTTCTATTCTTCATTCCCTTACCAGTTTCTCTCAGAGCACATTTTTTTTTTATTCTTAAGTTCTTTTATTGGTACATTTTAGGTATACAATATGTTTATATTTGTCATTGGGTGCTTGTTCCTGTACATGATCTATCTTGGTTCTTATTTTTTCCCCATTACCTGTGCGCCCTTCACCCGCTCCACCCTTACCTATTTACATAGGCTTCATTTCCATTTTTTTTCTTTTCTCAAAATTTTTCCTTTCCCTTCTTTCCTTTCCACTTCCCCTCCCATCACCCCTACACCTTTGGACTTTTCTTCCTATTTCAAATTATCAATTATTCATTTTAATCATTTTAACCCTTATTTATGCTTTCAGTTTCTCATACTAGAGAAACTATTTGGTATTGACACAAGTGTTTCTTATTTATTTCACTTAAGAGTATGGCCTCAATATGCATCCATTTAGCTATAAATGACTCTAATTTCTCATTCTTTATGGCTGAGTAGTACTCCATTTTATTAAAGAAAAAAACACATCTTCTTTATCCAGTTTCCAGTTGATGGGCACTTGGGCTGTTTCCAAGCTTTAGCTATTACAAACTGTGCTGCTATAAACATGGGTGCACATATATCTCTGTGGTATGATTCTTTTAATTCATTTGGGAAGATACCCAGCAGGGGAATAGCTGGGTCAAATGGAACCTCTAGTCCTAGTCCTTTGAGGTATCTCCATACTGACTTCCACAGTGGTTGCACCAGCCTGCACTCCCACCAACAAAGGAGAAGGGTTCCTCTTTCCCCACACCCCCGCCAGCATTTGTTACTGGTTGATTTCTTGATAGCAGCCATTCTTTGTGGGGTGAGGTGAACTCTCAGTGTTGTTTTCATCTGCATCTCTCGAATGACCAGTGATGTTGAACATTTTTTCATATATTTATTTGCTGCTTTTACTTCTTGTTCTGAGAAATGTTTATTCATTTCAGATCTCCATTTTTGAATTGGGCCTTTGAATTTGGGGGGTCTGAATGTAGGTTGTCTCTTAGCTCTGTTGGTGGTTTCTTTTGCAGAGAGCACATTCTTTTTAAATTACTTGTTCATGAATCTTTGTCTTATAGTCAGTTCTTGGGAAACCCAGCCTAAGACATTTGGCATTCCCAGAACATATTTGGAAACTAAGCACTGTGGTCCTTTCCAAATCAAAGGGAGAAAGAGCTTTAGACACTATCAAGACATCTTTTAGTTGATGATTTCCTGTTTGATACTCCTTTAGAAGTATCTAAGTGTATTAATTCCTATTTTCTATGACTCCTCAACCAGGTAAAACACTTTAAAATTTAGAAATATCTATTCTGTATCTATATCTCTCTGTGAGGGATGATTAGGATTATTCAAAGGAGTGATGAAAATGCTTTTGCTCTGTGCACTGGACACTCTAAATATGCAGCCTGTGTTTGAGAACCTACACTAATGTACACTTGTGTGTATGTGTATTTTTATTTTACAGAACCCTGAAGGAGGCCTATATGTGGCTGTGACTCGGTTGGCAGGAATCACTGGAATTGTTATCACACTTTGCCTCATATTAATTATCACCTCCTCCACAAAAACCATCCGGAGGTCTTACTTTGAAGTGTTTTGGTACACACACCATCTCTTTGTGATCTTCTTCATCGGTCTTGCCATCCATGGAGCTGAGTGAGTTTTTAACTTGGAAGCCAAAGGCTTTATGTCCTTTAATTTCTAGGCAGGGTGCTCTACAGAGGCACAGTGACTTCCTTCCTTGTGTGTGGTTAGCTTGTCTGCCGAAGAAATGTGAATGGACAGCAGAAGTCATTCCAATAGAAACCAGTCAGCAACACTTTTGGTTTCTTGCACCCAACTAATTGCTATTCATAGTGCAGTTATTTATAACAAGCTTGAAAAATGTACCAAAGTCTATCTTTCCAAGTGTAGAGAACATATTGAGAGCACTGGTAGGATCTTATATGTCCATAATGCTGTCTCTTGTGGCTTAATCACTAGTGAATTAGCCAAACTCTCGAACTGGGGGAGTAATGATTCACTAACCTACTGAAATTGAGGACTATCTCAGGCACTATCTCAGGGAATACTATCAGGAAAACTACCTACCTGGGGATTGCCTTCAAGCATTGTAATACAATAACGATAACAGCTAACTTCTATTGAGCACTTGTTCTGTCAGGATTTGTGCTAAGAAGTTGATATGAAATGTTTCTCTCAGTCCCCAAAATATCTCAATACTCTCATCATCCCCACTGCCTGGGGATATTAATTTTAGACCAAGAACCTGAAAATAAAAATTGTAAAATATGTAGGCCAAGCCATGTCCAGCTGGAAGTGGCCTTAAGCACAGGTGGCCTAAAGCAGTCTGTGACAAATACTAACAGAGGCACAAAGTGTGTGGATGTGTGCTTGGCAGGAATCTTCTTTAATACAAGGTTTCCTTTTCTACTTTTTCACACCACCTGCCCACAAAAGAAGGCCCAGGGAAGTTCACTGGTGGTTATAGGGTTCCAAGAAAGTAATGGTGGGGGGCTTAGATGCTCAAGCCTCAAACATCCTGCTTCAAGCCAAGGCAGGCCTGGGGTCCAAAATTTGAGTGTGAAAAGGGAAAGTGTGTAGAGTAGCAGTCTTGGGAAAACTCTGCATACATTCTTAACCTTCCTCTTGACTCTGACCCCTGACAAACTCTCTCTAAGCGCTGAGAAATCAGTATGAGTATCTTTAAATGGAATTTAGTCATAATCCAGCTGCAGAAAATCCTAGAGAAGGGAAGGAATTTCTTCCCCTCCCTAGTTTAGTAATCCCAACACTAATAGATCTCCATCTTCCCTTGGAGCAGATATTCATTCACCCCATTCTCCATTTGAAGAAATCCTGCTGCTTACCCGGGTGAGGTGATTGCTCACAGTCTCCTGGCTAGGTGACAGCTGAACTGAGATGAAAATCCAGGCTTCCAGACTTCAAGTCTGTCATTTATTCCCCATGTGAACTTGGTAATCAACAATGTCAAAGTTACCATTTTTGGACCCTTGCCTTGTATCTGACATTTTTGATACATCATGGCAATTGATTACTAAAATAAATTTTTAATGAGGTATTATTATATCTATTTTACAGCTAAAGAAACTGAGTTTCAAAAGGTTTAAATAATTTTCCCAAGTTCACCAAACTACTAAGAGATGAAATTTCAGCCCAAAACTATGTTTCTCAAAACAGAATTGTTTTCACCAACATATTCTGCTTTATGTTATTAACCCTCCTGTAACATGGGGGTAGTAATACTTGTCTTGCAGGCTTGGTATGAGCACTAACTGAGATAATTTGTGTTAATTTCCTCAGGCTTAGCTATAATAGGTGCTCAATACATGGTCTCTTCGCGAAGACCTAGGGATAGAAAAGGGTGGTTAATGACCTTAAATTGAAAAATTTTAAGAACATACTAAATAACATGATAAATTATAGTTCTCAAAAACAGACTTTTACAAAGGGATGTCTATGTCTCTTTTTCTTTTATATTCTGAGGAATTTATCAATTGTGTTCTTTGAGGGCTGAAGTCAAGGACATTACTTACTTAGCTATGTGCCTCCTTTTCTTCATCATCATTAAACTAAGCATTGCTTTATATTTTAGCAGTTGCTCAATTAATGTTTATTGAAGTGAATGAGCTTTAAGCAATTGCAAGGTACACACTATCAGTGCTGATATCTATGAGAATGCCATAATCCCCATAAGGTTAAGTCTTGTCAAACAGATTTCAGCCTCTTTGCTTAATTTAGACAATTTTTGAACCCACAAATAAAGCACTTTACCTAAGTCTCAAGGTCACTTTGTATGACTACATGAGTTGCCCACTATTCAAGGATGACCAACCAACAAGAGGGAAGGTAGCCCACACTCTGCTGATCAAGTCTTTACCTGCAAGACTGTCCCTATAGAGGGGAGTCTTTTTTCTAATTTGCACAAAGGCAATGTGTGGACTAGTAGTCACCCTGTTAAATTGCATTTTTTCTATTTTGTTTGTTATATGTAGATATGCCACTGTACATATTTTTTCTAATGCTCAAGATCACATGTTTTCTTTCTCTTCCTCTAATCTATTCAAGGGGGAGGATAAGCTATAACTTTTAAGTGAAAAACACAGGATTTACATTAAGGTACATAAATATGCCCAGAATCAGGACTAGAGGCATAGCTAAGTGGTAGGGTGCTTTCCTAGTATGTGTGAGGCCCTAGATTTGATCCTCAGCATGGGGAAAAAAGAAAAAAGCTAAGAATATAAGAAACACAGACAGCTTAGTTTGTTGCTAGTAAATAAGCTAAACTTTTTTTTTTCTTTCAGAAAAATTGTACGTGGGCAGACTACACAGAGTTTGAAAGCACACAATATAACCATATGTAATCAAAATATCTCACAGTGGGGAAAAATAGAGAACTGCCCAGTCCCAAAGTTTTCTGGGAACCCTCCTATGGTATGTAAAATTCACTGTTGCTATTAAAATTTTATTACTGGCAACCTTCAAACTATGTCTAGGAATCGTACAAATGTCATGGAGTTGTCCATTACAAATGTCATGGAACTTCTAGGATGTTATGAGTGTTTACTTTTTTCTATAATACTTATTGACTAGAATAATTTTTTGAAAAATAAACTTTACATTTGTCTGCTTTCAATGTACTGATATAAAACTTGAGAAATCAATATCTTGAAAAATGCTGTTTGGGTTCAAGAAGTTTCATCCCTTTTCTTCTGGATGGAAATACCACCATCACACCAGTTAATGATTTTTAGTGGGACACTTAGGGATTCCATCCTTAGCTGAGTTAGATAGCTCAGATAAATCACTTATAAGCAGCTAGGGGCCTCTTCAGGTGTCCAGAAGTTAAGACTTTTCTATATAGCTTTCAAAATTGGGAAGAAGATTGATGAGATATCACATTCAGCTGCTTTAAGGCACTGGAAGATCCAGTCTATTGGGCAAGAAGGAGACTAGACAGCCAGGTTGACACAAATACCCAATGGCACCTCATGATAGGGTGGGAGTATAACAAGGGTGATAAAGGGTGAAATATTTTCTTTCTCCTATAAGTTCTGAAGAACTCCATTTTATTTTTGCTCAGTATCTCTACTCTGTGACAAATGAGTCCTGTAATCTTTATATCTTTTCCTCCATTGGAAGGCTATACATTTTATTGGTTATTGTTCTAGCCATTGATGTAAAACTAGCCAAAAATCAACATTTTGATGGGTTTCTCAGCAGGCTTATTATTTTTTCCTTACACATGTTATGACATAAAGGTAAATTTATCACCCCATTTTCTTCTTTCTTCTTTTCTAGTCTCTTGGCATGGGAGTACCCTTCTTCTAAACACAGTATGCTATGAAGTTTTAACATCTCTGAGCATCCTTGTTCACAAATGAAAGCAATTATACACATTAGTGAACTGGCCCCCACTCATACATTAGACATGAATAAAAGGCTAAAAGGAAGGAGACCTTGTTTAAGACCCTGGGTTTCATCCTCAACACCACAAAAAAGGAATTGTTCTTCCAATCCTCTTAAGGACTGGGGAAGGCATTTTTCCTCAATGACAGCTAGAATCAGAGTACTACTACCTTAACAGGCATCTACTTCAAAGGAACTTCAAATATCTAGGTATATTGGAGGCAATGCCAAAATCTGGCTCCATTCAATGGCATAAATACTTGTTCCATAAAAATGAAATCTAGCAGCAGAACATTCTCGTCTTCTGGTGCAGATATTGTTCAGCTTTGCCTGGAGATTTGGGCATTCAAGTGCTCTAAACATCCAGAAATTTGTTTACTAAAACTAAAAAGCATAATTTAATAGAAACATCATATGTAAGACTATGAGAAACACTCCCTGGCTTTTTCCCCCATGGAATTCATTCTGAAAGCCATATTTTAAATGACATTGCCTTCTAAAATTTTTTGTTACTTCAGGCATTAAACTAGAAATCCAATTAGCAGAGCCTCAGCGTTGATCAATTTGGCCTAAATATTTTTATATAGTCAACAATGCTACAGAGTAATTCCAGTCTTCTGAAACACTGCATATTCTGTCAAGAGGGGCATAAACAGAAGTCTAAAAATCTTTGAGTTTGTTCTCATTCAGCAAATGTGTTGTGTAGCTCCTGGAAATTACCAGAATATTGAAGAAACAGGTAAACTCTTGCACAAAATTTGTCATCTTGCAAAAGATTAATCTCTGACTCCATGGTTGAGATAAAGCAATTGCAATGTTGCATTAAAAAATATCATGTTGCTGAAATGCAATCCTTTAGAGAAATACTAATTCTGAAACCAACCTTCCTCTAGTGTAGGATTATTGCAACTGCAGTTGTGACACTGAGAGGAAATCTTGTAGGTAGTTCCTCTTTGGATAGTTTCATACTGCAGATATAGTTCCCCAATGTAGCTAAGGCGAATATTCACTTTTACTGGATCAACAATTTATCATAATTTCAGATACTTATTTTCATACATTCTGTTCTAGAAGATATTTACTTATCAATGTCAAATATTTAAGCAAATCTACAAAGATTAACCTTACTTGTACAATTTTCTCTTCCTCAGAATCCTTTACTAATTACCCTTAACAAATCTCATTTTCATTTTTGCTCTCATTACAGACTTGGAAATGGATAGTAGGTCCCATGTTCCTGTATCTCTGTGAGAGGTTGGTCCGGTTTTGGCGATCTCAACAGAAGGTTGTCATCACCAAGGTACTGGTTGGTTCAGGAATTACTACTAGTAGTCAGTGCCTAACTCTAGAAGGGAAGAATCTAAAAAAAGTCTTTGCCGCTGGTCAGAACTGCCTTTCTCCCAGGTTCTTTTGAGTAAATGTAAAGTAAAGAGAAGATCTGCAGTTTATTTCCAAATACTTAACTCAATAATCAAATTGTTGGGCTTTTGGGGACACTAGAAGGTACTACCCTCTGTCTGAAGATGAAGCCAAGTGCTTTGTGTACATAAATCTCCCCTGTGTGGAGAGAGGCACAGAGACCTTATTAGGTTCATTACCAAATAGAGAAGGAAAAGAAGTGAATCAGAATATTCAGATGCCAAAAGAAGCAAGGAACCCAGGATAGATCAGATTGAGGTTGAAATAGTTTCCTACATGATTTTCTTCCTTTTCTGTGCTTTATCTGTAACCATAAAATATCAGAGCCTGAAGCGCTTAAAGTCCTAAGCAAGTTAATAACAAGCTGCACCTCAAATTTCATCTTTTAACTTCAAATCTACAGTGGCCTTTCCTCTACTCTTCTATTTTTTTTCATCACAAAATAGTTAAACAAGTATCAATGGTAATTCCTTGCTATGGTTTCAGAAAATACCAAGCAAGAATTTTTATCTAACAAAAATTTAGTTCAATTCAACTCAATTCAAAAAGTATTTAACAAAACCCTACTATGGATTATTTTCACTAAACACACAAATTCCTTCTGTCCTCCACCCTGTCTTTTCTTCATTTGACATCTATGGAGAGTCATTTTAAAGCTAGTCTTGGTGGTACTGAAGTCTTCAATATAGGAAACCACAATACTTCTTCTTTTATGTTGTTTATATTGTATTATAGGAGAACCCCATAGGTCAGCAAAATGAGCTTCCATAAAATTCCCCTTACCAGATAAGAGAAGTCTAAACCAGGCAAGTATTTATCTTGAACATACTTGTAGGGAAAATTTGTCTTTCTGTGAAGAAAATATTCATTTTCTTTTTATACAAACAAATATCAAAAACAAGACAGTAACCAAAAATATCACAATAAGAATGTTGTCTACTAGGAATTCTTATTTAATTGAGTCCTGTTTGTGCTTGTAGTGGAATTGAAATATGGTAAAAAGATGTTTTCACTACACAAACTTGCAACATGTTAAACTACTTTCAACATAATTTTCTACTTTCATTCAGAGTATAAAGGAAGTTGGTCACTGCCTTATTATATAAGATGCATTTATACCACAAATTTTAAAAATATTTGATACTTTTTTAGATGGTGCTAGGGATCAAAACCAGGCTTCTCCCATGCTAAGCACATGCTTTTCCACTGAGCTACACTAACAGCCAGCAACTTTTATTAAAACAATTTCCTGACTTCCCACAACTCTCCACTCTTGAAAAGAAAAGATCAGAAATATTAGTCAACATTAAAAGGCTGCTATTGATTTTTTTCTTTCCTGTGTGTGTGTGTGTGCGCGCGTGTGTGTCCCTTGGTTTTTCTTCAGCTATACGCTAAGTTTTTCTAGACATCTTTGGAATCATCAAAGAAATAGTATAGTACTTCTCCTTAGCTTAGTTTTATTTTATTTTTATAGATACATAATTGTACATATTTATAAAATACAACGTAGAGTTTTGATTGATCATGATTTGTGAAAAGATCAAATCAAGGTATTATACATATCCTTCACCTCAAACAGCTATACTTTCATTGTGATGAGATCATTCAAAATCCTCTCTTAGCAGTTTTGAAATGTACAATGCATTATTTTTATCCAAAATCACCCTACTGTATGCAACAGAACATCAGAACTTATTCCTTTTATCTCACTGTAATTTAGTACTTACTAACCACATCCATCCCTACCCCTGCTTTCCTCAACCTCTGGTAATCACCATTCTCCTCTCAACTTCTACAAGATCAGATTTTTTAGATTCCAAATATGAATACAATCATGCAGTATTTGTTCTTTTATGTTTTACTTATTTCCCTTAATTTAACATCCTCCAAATTAATCCGTGTTGTTGTAAAAGACCAGATTTTACCCTTTTATGCTGAACAGTATTCCACTGTGCATATGTACCACATTTTCTTTACCCATTCATCTGTTGATGGACATTAAATTGTAGATATCTCTTTGACAAAAATGGTACATTCCTTTCTGTGTTGCTCTTTATTATGTTCTATTTTATTATATATTTTTTTTTGAGACAGGGTCTCACTGTGTAGTTCAGGCTGGTCTTGAACTCACTGTGCAACCCAGGCTGACCTGGAACTCACAATGATCCTCCTGCCTCCTGCCTTCTGAGTGCTTGGATTATAGGCATGTGCCATGGCACCCGATTCAGAGCCAGCTATTTTAAAGATATTTAGCCACTTACTATTTGATGGATGCATGGGTTGTTTCCTTATTTTTGTCATTTTGAGTAAGGCTGCTATGGACATTTAGGTATGTGGATAATGAAGTTAGCAATGGGCAAATAGGACCTGTCTTGGGGAGACATAAATGAATGAGGAAAACTGTAGAAAAAAATGCATGAAATCAAGCAGATTGCACTCATGACTCAAGATAAGGACAGACACAATAGTTGGCTTGGTTTAAGGTCTGTAGCTATACAAGTAGGTAATAGGATCCCTTTCTTCTGTCCATCTTCCAAGGCTTTATCTTAGCCTCTGGGAAGATAGGCTGGCTGAGCAAGAAATTCACTTTTTTCTCTTTTTCACAACTTCCTTGACTTCTGAGAGAAAAAAAATCACAGTAGGCTGATAACTTAGGTTGGATTCCCTGGTAAAGACTCTGAGACAGACAATTGTGTGCAAGAAGCTTATGTGGACATGTTCTTAGGAGCTGAACCTATACAGAAAGTAAGAAAGCGAAATTGGATAGAAAGAAAAGCTAACCCTGATCCACAATGTAGTTGCAATTTCAGCCTCAGCTGATCCTACAGGGAAGCATACCCAGATTTTGTGTTCCTTTGTTATACCATCACTGACTATAGACTACAACTGGCAATTCTCAGTGACACACACATCTGCTGGAGGACCTTCTACATTGGCCCTGAAATAGAGACCTGGGAGGGGCATCTTGGCACAGCCTTTTATCCACATGAACACTGCAAAGGCAAATATTTGGGGAAAAGGTCTTTCCTAAAAATGTTTTATTTCATAGGTGGTCACTCACCCTTTCAAAACCATTGAGCTACAGATGAAGAAAAAAGGATTCAAGATGGAAGTGGGACAGTACATTTTTGTCAAGTGTCCCAAGGTGTCTAAGCTGGAGTGGCACCCTTTCACACTGACCTCCGCCCCTGAGGAAGATTTTTTCAGCATCCATATCCGCATTGTTGGAGACTGGACAGAGGGGCTCTTCAATGCTTGTGGCTGTGATAAGCAGGAGTTTCAAGACGCCTGGAAACTACCCAAGTGAGTACAAAGCACATATTACAAAGGTATATGCGTTCAGGAAAAAGGTACTAATTAGCTCCTCTTCCCCCATATCTCATTATACTATAACCTGAATCACAAAACACAGAGGTTTCCAGGTGTGCTGGTGCATGCCTGTAATCCCAGCACTCGAGAGACTGAGGCAGAAGGCTCACTGTGAGTTTGAGGCCAGCCTGAACTACATAGTGAGACCCTATCTCAAAAAAAAAAAAAAAAAAGGCCGGGGATTTAGCTCAGTGGTTCTGCCGCCTGCCTCACAAGTGCAAGGACCCAAGTTCGATCCCCAGTACAAAAAAAAAAGAAAGAAAGAAAGCAAAAGAAGCAAAACACAGAGGTTATAAGAATATAGGTAGCTTTCTCTGTGTTCCTTCTATTGCACCTGGGAGGAGTTTATGCATATTTTTATAACTCTTATGTGAAATATAAAACTCCTAGATCTTAGATCATTATTCATATTAGTAATGCATACTCTCAAATTCCTTTAAATATGTAAGGGTTGAGGCCAAGTTCTGTTTACTTTTTTAACCAAGATATTCTTAAATTTTAATTGACATCATTTGATTGGGAGTAAATGTCACATATTGTTTGCTTTGCATCCTCCTCCCTACATACTTGGTACCAGGAATTAGTAGATGCTGAAGAAAAGTATGTTGAATAGCTCAATGAATAGGTAAATGAAAAGTGGGGATATTAAATCTACAAGATACTATGATATAGAAAATTCTCACTTCAATATACAATGTCAGTAAAAATTTAAAGTGTAACATGTGAATGTGTTTGTGTTGTGTTGTGTTAAGAAGATTGAGGACCAAAGACTACAAGAAAAATACAGATGTATCCATAATCAAGATAAATGTAAAAGTTCCAAACAAAATTTTACAAATTGAATCCATTAATACAATTCACAAAAAAGAAGGAGATTGAAGACAGAAAGATGAAAAATACCTGTGGGGTACTACCAAATGTTTTCAAGTAGCAAAACATTCCCCTTGTCTTACTTCCAACCCCAATGTTGGTCTTAAATTCATTATTTGAAATGCATTTCATAGAAGAAAGTGCCTCATAGATAACGTTACCCCAGTTGGAATTGACACATTACACCTCTCCAGGAATAATGGGTGCTCCATCTTACTGTGAAGCAAGATATCTCTGTAACTGTCTCCTTCCCACTTCCATTCAGGATAGCGGTGGATGGGCCCTTTGGCACAGCCAGCGAAGATGTGTTCAGCTATGAGGTGGTGATGTTAGTGGGAGCAGGGATTGGGGTCACACCTTTCGCATCCATTCTCAAATCGGTCTGGTACAAATATTGCAATAATGCCACCAATTTGAAGCTCAAAAAGGTAAGTTCCTTCAGATTTTGTAGGGCTTGGAATGGTCATCACTCTCTACCAAGTGAAGTCTGAAAGTACTTTCAGGGCTGAGGCTAGTAGAGACCACAGGAAGTAAAGAGAAGCTGTAGGTGGTTCAGAGAGGAAAGGTTCTCTTCCAAGGACTATTTGATAAATGAAATGTGCTTCCTAGTAAAAGTAATATAGAGTTGCTGGAAATGCCAAAGAAAGTTTGAGAGAAATTATTCACAACCCCAGAGCTATCCCTTTGTATCTTATCTTATCTCATTTCATGGTGCTAGGAATGGAACCCAGGGCCTTACCTATGTTAGGCAAGTGCCCTACCACTGAGCTGCACCACCAGCCCCTTGGACATTCTTTTCTAATATTTTTTCCACAGACTTACATATAATTAGAAAGTTGTAAATATTGACTATGTACAATTGCATAACCTTTCTTTCAACATAAAGAATGTTTTTCAGTGTCATCACAGGCTTCATAATGATGATTTTTTAAAATTAAGTTTATTGGTACATTTTAGGTATACATTATGATCCTATTCATTATTGGGAATTTGTATCTGTACATGATATATCTTGGTTCTTATTTTTTCCCATTCTTCTTCTCTCCCTTCAACCTGGCCATCCCTTCCTATTTACATAAGCTTTGTTTCCATTTTTTCCTTCTTTTTTTCCTCTTCTTCCCCCTCCCCCACTCAGTTCCCCTTCCGCTTTGAACATTTTCTTCCTATTTCACAATATCTATTATACATTTTGATCCTCATTTACACTTTCAGTTTCTGACACCAGGGAAACAATTTGCTATTCACAGGTGTGTCCTATTTATTTCACTTAAGCGTATAGCCTGAAGGTGCATTCATTTAGCCATAATGATGATTTTTAATGATTTCTTAATGTTCCATTGAGAAGATATAGAATAATTTTCTATATTTTGTTTTGTACATGGATTCAATTTTTAGTTCATCAACACTTGTTTTTCAAGGGGAAGGAAAGAGACATTAAACTTTCACTTTCATCTATATGTCTTCTCTGGATAAATTTCCAGGGGAGTGTTACACGTAAATTATCTGATAGAGAACATCTTCAATAAACCTTGAGTCATTCTCGTAACTGTAAAGATAATTTTTTTTTTAAAACGGGGGATCCAACTCTTGTTTGCACTTGTGGGGCAGGGGGTGGAACCACTGAGCTAAATCCCCGGCAAAGATAAATTTTAATAGAAACACTGAGCCTACCTTAGATATTCATTCCCCCGATCTCTTTCTATGTGCAAGAGGTGTGGGTGGAATGATTTTTCCCTAAGAACTCATGAGTGTCTGGTGGCAGTAGGCTTAGGGGTGGGAAGAAGTCCTGCAACAGTCACTGCCAATTGAGTCACCAACTCCAGATTTCCTTGGTCTTCTGAGAGGAGGTAGAAAGGAATCCAGAGATTCTGGGAGAGAAGGAGTAGCTGCAGAACAAAAGTTGGTGGGCCAGCCCAGTTTTTTTGGCTCTATATTTATTTAGTGCCTTGCCAGTATGAAGGCCAGAGCAGGTTTATGTGAGTTAGCTTGTAAAATGTCCAAAGTTTTCAAAAAAAAAAACAAAAAAACCCCAGTGCTTTTAGGCATTTTATGCCTGAGGGAAAAAAGTCTGGAGGAAGTAGAAATCCATATGTTGATGCTAATAGAGCCTGTCCCAATATAGTCTGCTTTGCGATCCATCCCCCTTGCAGATCTACTTCTACTGGCTGTGCCGGGACACACATGCCTTTGAATGGTTTGCAGACCTGCTACAGCTGTTGGAGACCCAGATGCAGGAAAGGAACAATGCTGATTTCCTCAGCTACAACATCTACCTTACTGGCTGGGATGAGTCTCAGGTGAGGACAAGAGTCCAAGTCTCAGGTCCTTCCCATAGTGTCCAGCACTTGCTGACTTTCCCTTGGTTCTTGGTGGGTCCTGTGTCCTATAAGGACAGTTAATGGATTCAAGTGATCCAGCTCATTCATACTTACTCAGTATCACAACATGATATTGACATTTTTTAGACTAGATAGAAAGCTAAGGGGCCTATAAGGGAGTAAAGGCCATGACTTTTACATTATTAGGGCAATGCTCCCACCAGAAAGACTATGTCACATGGACAAGATTCTCTGCAGGGTAATGGGAAAAATTGTGTGTGTGTTTCTTTAATTATACATTTACATATGTTTTATAATGCATCCAATACATTTATAGTTTTTAACCATGTGCTGTAGACCCTCCATGCCTGTGGATTCTGAATCTATGAATTCAACCAATCATAAGTCAAAAATATTTGGAAAAAATATATCTATATTGAACACGTACAGAATTTTTTACTTGTCATTTTCCCCTAAGCAATGCAGTATAACAATGGAGTACATAGCATTTACACTGTCCTGGGTAGGATAAGTAATCTACAGATTCTTATATTAGATGAGAGGTTTGTATAGGTTCTATGAAAATATTGCACCATTTTATATGTGGGACTTGAGCATGCATGGATTTTAGTATCTCTGAAAAGAGGTCCTGGAACCAATCCCTGCAGATACTGAGAGACAACTGAACTATGTAGCTCATGTTGTTCATAGCGTTTATACAGATTGTCTGATTTCATGCTCTCAGCAACCCTGTGGGGTACCTCCTACTATTATCCACATTTTTCTGATGAAGAAACCAAGGTCTAGAACAGATTAAGTCATTTACCCGAAGGCACCCGGCACCTAATAAGTGAGGAGCAGAGTCAGAACACTGTCAGCCTTCACTCTTAGCAACTCCCAGTAGTTTATGATTATTTTTAGTAAATAAGTCAATATATCTAATGAAGATAAGATATGTATGTATGTATGTATGTACAGTTTCCTTTCAATCCCTGCCACCTTCTAGCCCCCACCAAGGAAATTTGGTAGTGTAAACTTCTTATAATTGACAAGTTCCTGGAATACTATATGCAGCTTCTTTAATCCTATTCTCAAGGCCTTAATCCTATTCTCAAGGGAGGAGCCTTCATGACCTAATCACCTCTTAAAGGTCTTACTTGGTTTTTGGTTTTGGTATTTTCTTGAGACAGGGTCTTGCTACGTAGTTCAGGCTGGCCTTGCACTCCCTATGTAGCCCAGGCTGACCTCAAACTTGTGGTGATTCTCCTGCCTCTGGCTGGCCAGGAACTTGCATCAATCCTCCTGCCCCAGTCTCCTGAGTGCTGGGATTACAGGCCTGCACCATCCCGCCCGGAAGGCCCTACTTCTTAATGACACTTAATTACACTGACAACATCTGAATTCAAAACAAACTCATTCAAACTACAGCTACTACCTTTTACCTATGCATTGGCTCCTCAACACTGGGCATCTTTCACTTTGCACCCCTTAGTTATGAGGAATGACTTCTCATTTGGTTTTGGCATTTTTGTCTATCATAGACGTCCTAGAAGTCTTATAACAGATGTGGATCTACGAACACATAACCATGAGAACTACTACTCCGTGAAAAGTAATTTCAAAATGCTACTTCTGCAATTTAAAAACAAAACAATAAAAGCCCTTTGGTAAAAATAAAGCCCATAGTGGCACATACCTGAAATCCCAGTTCAGGAGGCTGAGGCAGAAGGATTGATAGTTCAAGATCAGGTTGGGCAAATTAGTGAGACCCTGTCACAAAATAAAATTTTACAAAAGGTTGGGAATGGAGCTAAACACTCCCTGGGTTTCATACTCCATACCACAAAAAAAGTAAGAATAAAACTGAGAGAAAAAAATCTATAATTTATAAATTACCTTAGAGTTTTGATATTTTCAAAAACAAAATGGTTTTAAATGGGAAATTTACTTGCATTGAAAAATAAATTATTTTAAAAGTAATTATTTTTCTTTGCAAAACTAGTCACTACGGGATTATTAAACCAGTGTGCTCACGTTCTTCAACCTCCTCCATCCCCATAACCCATCCCCTGTCTAGTAAATTCAAAACGTGATTTGTTTTAAAATACATTTAATTAATCACTTTTATGAAAAGTACCTGTTGTTCAAGCTGCAGCCCCCTAGAATGGCAGCAGAAAAACATCATGTATGTACATTTTAGGTTTGATTTGATGTCTCAAGTTACCAAAATATGAATGCATTTTGGCCTATGATTATTTCAGTTCTTAGTGATTCTCTCAAAAGAGTGGGAGTATAGTAGAGGAGAGAAAAATAGAGCAGAGAGAAAAAACAGTGAGACACTACCTGCACTTCAGTGCCTGACTCAAATACTGTGACCTTAAACTTTCTTTTATCTACCTGTTCCACCTTCTTTCTTTGTTCTCATTAGGATGTTTGTGTCTCTTCCATGGCACTCATTGTAACCTATTCTACAAATAGGATTATTTCTATTTATTTTTGAAAGTGTCCTCTTCTAGAGTGAAAATTGCTTGAAGGAAATTCAGTTTGTTCATCTTTGAAATATATATATATATATATATATATATACACACACACACATATATATGACAGTTGAGAGCTTGCTTTGTTAAATGTATAAATATATATGTCTGCATTTTTTTTTAATTTTTTTTTTCTGGTACCGGGGATCGAACTCTGGTCCTTGCACTTGCTAGGCAGGTGGTGGAACCACTGAGCTAAATGCCCAGCCCCTATCTGTCTGTATTTTTATAGTATGTCACTATTTCTGAATTCGTGTCCTTCACTACAGGCCAATCACTTTGCTGTTCACCATGATGAGGAGAAAGATGTGATCACAGGCCTGAAACAAAAGACTTTGTATGGACGGCCCAACTGGGATAATGAGTTCAAGACAATTGCGAGTCAACACCCTAAGTAAGCAGCAACCTTCCTCCCCAACTAAGGCATTTTTTAAGGCTGTGGTCTGCCTGATTCATCAGCTCCCAAGCATGGCTAGACTTATAAATTCCAGAAAGGAAGCTACCCGTATTGCTATAATGGAATTGAGTTCATGTCCGACAGAAGATTTCAGATAGCTCTGACTTTTAAGAGGAAATCTTTAAATCACAGCAAAATTATCTGAAGAATTATTAAAAGCAAAAATTTCCAGGTTTCCACCTCAGACTTTCCCAATCCCTTTTTGCAAGCTGAAAAATGGCTTGATTCTTTCCTTTAGTTGCCTCTTCCATAGGGCCTCAAATTAATAGGAAATTTTCCCACCTGCTTTGTAGTCTATCTCATCCCAAAGCCTGAACGTGTTTTGTTTTGTTTTGTTTTTTTCTTTTCCAAAAGTACCAGAATAGGAGTTTTCCTCTGTGGACCTGAAGCCTTGGCTGAAACCCTCAATAAACAGAGCATCTCCAACTCCGATTCTGGCCCTCGGGGAGTGCATTTTATTTTCAACAAGGAGAACTTCTAACTCATCTCTGCCACAAGGAAAAATCTGATTATGCTACCAAGTGACCAAATATAGCTGATTGATAATATAAACTCTCTCCTTCAAAAAAAAAAAGCAAGAAAGAAAGGAGGAAAAGAAACTATAATGTCATATTTCCCTTGAAAGATTGTTTGCAAATGATGTGTTATGTTTATATGAGTTTTATGTTTTTCAGAGCACTTCTACAAACATCATTTCATTTTTCATCTCTGTAGTGCCAGTGAAAGGAAGGGCAAGGACTTCTGGACTCATTTTTTAGGACAGGAAAATGGTGGCTCTAAAAGATTTTTGTCTCAAAAAGTGGCTTCCTTAAGACTATGACCCTGAGACCAGATCTTGACCATTGGACTCCAGGTTTGCTCTTCTTCCCACACCAATCTGTTTTGAAAATCAGCTTTTATAGTCCCCCAAAAGAAGATGTAAGCTAAAAAGTAGCTGCTCATTTTCCATTTCGTGTCATCTTGGTTATTATCCTTATATTGAGGGATATTTTCAAGATAGGAGCTAATATAGGCTGAGAGTGATTTAACACCTACTAGTGTCAGCATTGACACCTCAGCACATCCCAGCTTACCAACACAGCAGCCTAACAAGATCCAAGATTCTTCCCACCAATTAATATTACAAGGATTGGAGTTTATTCAGTACTCAGCATTTACCATGGTGCTTGGCACAGAGTGGATACTCAACAACAATTTGTTGAATGAATGAATAAAAAAGTTCAGAACCAAACACTGTCAGAATAGAGCTAATTGAAAACATTACACAGAATTATCTGAGGAAATGACTTCTGTTACTCTTACAGACCAAAGAATCCTTACTCTCCTGAGGGTAGAGAATGGGTTAAGGATAACAACCTATATGATGGCCTGCAAGGTTCCTCATATTCGTATTTGAAGCATGAAGGAATGAGGGATGAAGGCAGGAAATGAATTTCCTGTCATAAATCTGGCTGACTCCTCTAGTCCTCCTCCCTGTTCTATGAAAGAAAGCACACTAGTTTACTGCCAGAAATAGTCTCCTCCAGCCAGGCCTTGCAAATTTAGAACTTTGGAATTATGACAAACATGTGTCTGATAATGCACATCTGGCTTATATAGATCCCACCCCTTTTTCCCCATAAATACAGAAGTGGATCTTAAATATGTGACTAATGGTTTATTTTTATTATTATGTCATCATCACCACCACCACCACTATCTTCCTAAAACATCCTAGAAACTAAAATCTCCAGTTAACTATGTTGATATTGAATTCACAACCAATAGAATGTTCTGGATAACCATGAGTTCAAGACAAGAGTCTTTAAATCACTGTTAATGTGGACAGAAACAGTTCTTTCTTTCTTTTTTTTTGATAACTACTGCCATTGCTGGGAAGTGAAAAATAGCTTTAGGGAAGGAAGGAGAGGAAGAAATCAGGAGAGTGAGAGAAAGCAAAACTACAGAAGGGAAAAGTAGGGGAAGGGGGTCTCATGTTGGTTATTTTCTACCCCAGATTTCTTAGCTTTGTATGTATTGCATGTAATTGAAGAAGGAGTACACAGATTTATCTTATTTTGATTAAATATAGTATCAAATCTTTTGTATTCTGGTCACAAATTTTGATTCTGAGTGAGTATATTCAGGGGACTGGGACAAACGGAGAACTCAATTGTTTCTTGCCATATCACTGTTCCTTTGATCCCCCAGGATCTTCAGAGCATTGAGAATCAGTTCTCACAAATAAAGCCCTCCAGGGTGTGTAAATGTCCCCTCTCAGAAATGTGCAGGAAAGTTTCCACTTGGAGAAAGTGAGGTCTAACCTGTTCTGTTGCACCCCAGGTATTAGTTCATTCATTCAACAAATATTTATTATTCTATTATGATGACTCAGGAGCAGTGTGCATAGTTTCAAATGCTTTATACCAAAGTATGAACAGGAGGGCAAATCTCAGTTATATGGAGTCCAAGAATATTGCCCCTGTCTAACCTAGGTGACATAAGCAAAGCCAGCTCTTGCTCAAAGGATGTTGCTCCAGCATTTTACACCTTTGAAACCAAAATAGCAACATAGAGAGGTCTGTCCTATATTATTCTGGTCATGAGATGAAAAATCAGTGAAAAAGTGCTTGTCATTATGAGAGCTTCCTTCTTTGTCCTCCCAAGCTTCTAGCCACCAGTTATCAGTTGTTGCCAGCGCAGCTTTTTTTTAAAGTTTGGTACTTAACATTTAGGAAATAGGTATTTTAGAAAAGAATAATGAAGCAACTTTTTTAATCTCAAGGCTACTAAGGCTTTTCTTAGTTTTCCTGCTTTTGCAATATTGTGTTTATAAAATTTAAATAGTTTCAGGCTTTGAATGTCCATAGTTTATAGGGGGGTCTGGGAGATAATTCCTAGGAAGAACTTTTAAAATTGTGCTTAAACATTAAAAGTAATGGGCACTCACCATGTCCGTGTTACTGCTTTTGGTATTAATGGGTGAATTCAGCCAGCAGAGATCTTTCTCTGCCCTGGTAGGGTTAAATTTCTTGTACTTCTGTAGATGACATGCCAAACACTGCACAGTTTATGGATTGGGAAGGGAAAACTGGGGACTAAGTTCTCTGCCAGTGTCTTAATGATCCTCATAAGCACTGCTATCAGGCAGTGTCACTTCACATCATGGATAAAATTTTGAAGACATGGAAGACCCAGTATGGCCTCTTTTTCCATTTCCACTGGTATTTCATGTTCTAACTTCACAATTAAATGCCATCAGGTCAGATAATAAGCATATGTACTCATAGTTCTGTACTGGTTGTTGTTCTAAAAGAGCCAGTTATCTAGGAATTTCCTAATCATTAGCTAGGAAATGCATAGGGCTGTGGACATGTTCTTGAGGAAGTCAGCAGGTGCTGCTGAGGAGGAAAAGGATATTATCAAGGACAAATTACAATAATAGAAATAGCAAATAATTAGTGGACACCTAAACACTATGCTAAACATTTTACATATACTTCATGAAGTTAATCCATCAGCAGTACTGCAAATGTAGCCACCTTATTGCAATTTTGTTAGTAAAAAAATGAGTTTGAGAGAAGATAAATAATAAGCAGAGGTCTGAAAACTAGTGGGCGATTATGTCAAGATTGAATCCACATTTTTCTAGCAACAACATCCACGTTCTTTACACTAACATATTAGATAAGGTATAGTAAACCAAGAGTATTCTGTTTTGTTCTAGGTTCAGATTAGCCACTAAGAGTAGCTAGGTAACAGTGGTGGAATAAATCAAGTATCTTGGTATCTTAGTTTACAAACACTACATATCCTGGGTCATGCTAATTTTGACTTTTAAGATAAAACCTGTCAAGTAGTGGGATTACTTTGTTTGGAGCAGAGAAAGCTCCAGTGACTCAACTGAAATTTCATATTTACATATATATACATTTAATTTATTTATCAACCATTTCTGTTGTTCAGAAAATAGCTGGTTACCGTTTGCATTTTGTGTGTGTGTGCAAGTGTGATAAAACTGCATAAAGAAGAAGCCAAATTATAAGAGGACAGAATTTCTCAGCTATAAATGTTGTTGAGCAAAATTGAAACTGTTGACAAAGGCTAGGAAATCTGATCACTAGAGATTTCTAAAATGTGAAAAGAAGCTGGCCTAAGATTCTTTCAAAATTGTGGTCTTTACTATTTTATGGTGGTTGTTGAGGAATGACAGTCTAAGCAATTGAGTATTCCAATTAATAATTATAACCAATAGGTTGGCAATTTTAAAGGAATTATGTTACTTCATAAGAAGAAACTAAATACCTAAATACACCGCTTTGTGGATAAAAGAAAGTACTTGGAAAGATAGTCAGTACATGAGCAGAAATCACTGTGAGATCACACAGTATGGAGACTGTGCTTGACTGTCTTTAGAAAAAAGCCCAAAATAGTATATTCTGAAACTCTACCCTTCAGAGGGGACTGCTGCAAAGACAGAAAATCTGATTTATATAAAAAAATCAAATTCAAAACATCTTCAGGAATCTTAAAATTATACTAGAATACTAAGTAATCACAAGTTTACCATTATGTTAGATCACTTGATTGCTAAATATTGCCTCTTCTTTCAGTTATGCAATTGTCAGTTAAGTAACAATAAAAATCACTATCCCACCCACGCTCACGGAAAAAGCTAAACATTACTCTTTTGAGTCATATGGAGACAAGTCAGGGCATAGGAAATGAATCACTTTTGTTCTTCCAAAGAAATTTTAGAGCAAATCTCAGATATCCTTGAGTTATTTGATAAGAAAAAAATACCACTATCTAATCATATCCCAGGAGGGAGTAAATGTGTCTGTATTCACAGAAATCCATCAGGGCAGTTGATTGGCATGGTAGTTAATCCGGACCTTGTTAATGAAGGTCAGCAAAGCTATCGGATCATTGTTTTCCAGTAGGGAGGTCTGCATCATTCATCCACAGGCTAACACATCATACTTAAACATCTGCACTGTCAACTACCAGCTGTGTTCATTATCGGGTGTTCTATTCTGCAGGAACCAATGTGACTGCGGTTATACTGAGATCAAAGGCAACAACAAGTTTAACCATGTCCAACTTACAAAGGAAGCAAGCTGTAAGATGACCTTTGAGTATATGTTTTTACGTTTTTCTTTACAGAAAATAATCAGCAAAACTTTACAATTCATTTGCTATAAATAAAAATATATTTTGAAAACTCTGCTTTAAGACACTGTATATCAAAGTGTGAGGAGATGGTAATAGGAAAAATGGTGAAACAAATAGATGATATCATCACTAATTAGAGAAAAAAGAAACAAACTGTGCAATATTTAAAAGAATAGAGTACTTTTCCTGACTTTTCAGAAAAGCAAATGATACTTAGATTGATTGCAAATTGTACCAAATTTTCTACTTCTTTGTAATCTCTGTAATGTGACTTTGTATTTCCTTCCATTAAGAGGAGAAATCCATTCAAACATCACTCTAAGAATATTCAGTTGGAGTGGTACGATAGGATGCCAGATCCACAGAGAAAGAATATTAACCCTACTATACAACTCAGATCAATCTGAAAAATATGTAATGATAATGTAAATGTGGATTGGTTTTCTAATTTTAGAATTAATTTTTGGAAGCTGGGCAAAGTGGCACACACTTGTAATCCCAGCACTCTGGCAAGCTGAGGCAGGGGGATTGTAAATTTGAGCTCAGCCTGGACAATTTAGTAAGACCCTGTCTCAAAAAAAAAAAAAAAATACAAAGGGCTGGGGATGTAGCCTAGTGCAAAGGCCCTTAGTTTACTCCCCACTATCAGAAAAAAATAGACATAATTAAGAGACAAATCACAGAAGACTTAGCTATGGTTAAAAATAAATTGTAAGTTACAACCATGACAATATGTAATTAAAACACAGTAGGAGTGGAACATCTACAAGACTTGAGGGAGAAAAAGGATATGTCATCTGTGTGTATAGATATGACCATAGGAAGTAAGCCCTACTTCCAGAATCAATTTCTGTTTTAGTAAGCATTAGGTTGTGCTGCAACAACAAATAACCCCAAAATCAACAAAAGTTTGTTACTGTTTTACCTGATTATTGCATGTTAGTTGAGGACAAAGGAATTGTTCAGCATTTTCCTCCCTTATGGATCAGCCTAAAGGCAGGCTCCTTCACTTTGCTTTTACTACATGCTAAGAACTTTATGTGCTTTATTTCATTAACTTTCAGGACAGTTATCATCCCTATTTTCCAGAAGAGGAAATTCAAACATAGAGATGTTAAGCAATTTTTCCAATATCATGCATCTAGGAAACAAAAAATGTTGGGATTTGAAGCTGAACAGTGTGTTTCCCCCCAAAAGTTACCCTATACCTTCATCATAATGATGAATGATCAAAGGAAATGAATGGAGATGCCAAATTCACTGAGATGGGGGAGAGGTAGGAATTTATTTCAAAAGCCGACCTTGGAAGAGAATGGAAATTTAAAGCTTAGAATTTTAATTAGTGACAGTTATATAAAAAAGTATAATTAGGTCATGATGTTAATAAACAGTAAAAACTTAGGTGAGAATAACATGCATCTATTTTAGTAAATCCATTTACTCAACAAAATGATTAAAGCATAATCCTTAAATATAGTGCAGTGTGAATTCCAGATCAAGGCCCCTGGTGTCTTGGAACACGTAGGATTATCTTTGTGCACTAAATGCGAAGGCTTAATGGTCATGAGGGGGCACAGTTGCTTGAAGCCCTAGGTGCTACGTGAGGACCTGAGATAAATCCTCAACCTCAAGCAGCAGTCTAGGTGCAGGAGCACTCCTCTAAATAGAGAAAGCTGGTTTTCTCTCACAGTCTTACTCCAGGAGCTGCACAGGAAGAGGAGGAGGAGACTTTTGAATGCAGCACTGAGTGGTTTATTCTTCTGTCTCCTGATGTGGGTGGAGCAAGAGCTCAGTTGTCTGTTATCTAGGGGAGCACAGAGAAACCAGGAACTGAGGTCAGAACATAGAGAACCATTATGTTTGGGGGTCAGACAGAACTGTCTCTAACAGTTGGAAGTATCTGACATGGCAGAAAAGCCTACCAATGACAGTGAGATTGTGAGGCAGGTGGCAACTGCAGCCACAGATACAGCCAAAAAAGATGTCAGCCAGTCCCTCCTACTTGTAAAACTTCACTTGGCTTTCAGACCCAGCCCCCACACTCTTTTAGTTTTCTGCTCATTTCACAGCCTGTCCTACAGTCTTTTCCATCCCAAAAATGGAAGCTCCATTTTCATTAGGCCCAAACCCTAGCATATCCCTGACTCTTCTTTCTTGTACATACCACATGAAGTTCATTATCACACCTGAACTTCAAAACATTTCCAGAATCTGATTATTTCTCTTCTCACAGTATCCATGGTGACCAGGTCACTTTTCTGCTCAAAACCACCAATGTGGCATCATCTCATGAGATGGTCCTATAAAAATCAGATCCCTTATTGCCTATTTGGTCTTATTTCCCATCACTTTCTCCCTTTCTCACTGAGCTTCAGTGACATCGGCCACCTTTCTCGTTCTCTCTCTCTCAAACAGAGATTGGTCCCAACTGAAGATCTTCACATTTGTGTTCCCCTTGTTTGGAATGCTGTTCTCCCACATATCTGTGTGCCTTGTTCCTCCACCTCCTTCAGATTGAAGCTGAAATAGTATCATTATGAAAGGGGTCTTCTCTGACAGTCCCATCTAAAATAGCAACCTTGCCAATAGCCTCTCCTTCCTTTACAATCTGTTCTCCCGATACAGGGGAAAATATAACTCCCAAACTGCTAGATATCAAGTACACCCAGTTCGTGTCTCCTGAAATCGAAGAATGAATTCCAAAGGACAAAGGAGGTTAAGGATGGAAAAAATTTATTGGGGAATAGGAATGGCTCTCGAGAGACAGGAGGGGTCCC